TAAAGCTAGAGACTAACTTATCTCTGAATAAGTGTGGCCATTTCTGGGTAGGGTAGGCAGCATAAGGAACACTCTGCTTTTATGCATGATGGTAGATTAGTAGTAATGTTAGCCATTGCAGAGTTATGGTAACCTTTAGAGGCCTGATATGCAAGGTGCCATTTACAGTCTGTGTAGTACAAATATTCTGGCTTATATCTCTTTGGCTTTATGCATGTTGCATGTATATGCACACGTGTTGAATTCAATAGGCGAATACACATACGTATATGTTCATGACTGAGTAGTGATTTTCAATCCCATACATTTTAGATGTCCAGCTAAAACTCTGTAAAAGATGGCAGTTTTAAAAAGTGGCTATTCTGGCATCCAGAGATGTTCAGGAATGCAGGTGAGATCTGAATGCAGGCTATACTGGCTTTAATCACTCTGATATTGCACCATGGGAATATTCTACCATGGGAATATCAGAATATTTTCTTACCTTTCTTTACCTTGGTGCTGAGGAGTTTGACAAAAGTGCCTTTGAACTTGAGATAAAAACTAGGAAAAAACCCAAATAAACACATGTTGCACTGATGATAGGTGTTTTGCAGCCTGTGAGAACATGTTCCTAGAGGATGGGAACAGCCCTACACACGGACAACCTGGTAAAAAGAAACCATTATCAGGAAAAACATATGTGGGTTTGCCTCAGGTGAAAGTTGAAGACATTATTCAAGCTGGTGAAAACACACTTCATTCTCATTAGAACAATGACAAATCATAATAAAAATATCTGGGTTTTCATCAGAAAAACACCCTCCTACAAATTTTTCAGTTTAGAATTGGAAATCGAAAATGTACTTTCTTTGCAAAAATATGTTCATTTTTTTTAATTGGAAAGGTTTTCCAGGAGTTGAAGGCTAGAATCAGTAGTTGGTAGTGTTTAGTTCTGTGTTACAAAAATTTTAAGCTGTTACCCAGAAAACCTCATTATATGTGTGGTAGGATAGACTATTTGTGAGAGCGTAGCCTATTGTATATAGAGAAGAGGAAAAAGTAGAAAATAATTTAAGACATTTGAAATTATTTTTATGCCATTTTTTCTGCAATGTAAAACTATTCAATGAAATCTGCTAGGTCAGATTAAATATATATATCACTTCTATTTATGGAGGAAATTTTTATGGTCAAGACTGATTGTAGCTTTTTTGTTCCAAATGGGTTTGCTTATGTGGAAATGTCATCATTCTAGTATGTAACAAACAATATGAATTCCAGGAGTCCTGCTTATAGGAGTTAATGTAATGTCCACACTCGTGGGTGAAAAAATTGAAAACTTGTTCTTAATGGGCATATATAATGTGTATTTTGCACACCTTCAATGTCATCACGGTTTGCAGATGTTCTGCCAGGCTGAAGACCAAAGTGTGCCTTAGAGTGCTTCTTTACTAGTGTCCTAGTTTGGTCCAGAAGTGAGCTCTAAAGTAAAATCCCCAGCCCTCTGCACGCAGGGAGCTCTGGTTCACATTGCAGGGTGCACAAATTGGATTCCTTTTGGGGCAGAAGACACACAAAGGAGCACTCGAAGAGTGCACTTAACACTCATTTGTGGCTGCAGCACATTCAGGCCACAGGATCAGACTCAGATAAAGTTAGAAAAATATGTAATATGGACATCAGGTGCTGAGGATGCTATGCAGTTAGCCTGGTTCACCTTTTTGTTTTGCCTACATTATGTGCTAACATAGACTTTGTCTACATCTGGCTGGATACAGATTTTAGGTACACTTCCAGTACAGGAGATTTAATCGTATTGCCAGCACACCAGACCGCAAATGTTTTTATCCAGGACTTAAAACGGGCAAGTACCTTCTGGAAAATAAAATGAAACAGCCCTCAGCAGAGACAGCTCTGACACAGCTCCTTGGAAGTCCCTCCTTGGGACACTGCAGTGCTGCTCCTGCTTGGTACCTCACTCAGGACAAGGGTTTTATCTCCTGAGCTGCAGTTTTAATGTACCGTTTAGGAGAGCCTCCCTTCAGTCCCTGTTCCCCCTGCCCCAGTTTTGATGTTGTTTGTTTGTGTTGGGAGTTGGATGTTGATTTTTCTCTGTGGCTTCTGCATAGTCCTTGTACTGAGTACAAAGGCAACGCACATCTCTTTCCACATCCTCTGCTATTTCTGTGAGATTTTGGATCCCAGGTCCTGGGAAGATCGCTTTGGGGATAGTCGTTTTCTGTTTATAGGCTGCTGAGACCACATGGAAGTTTCCAAAAAGCTCTAGTATGTCACATACCCTGAAACTCCAAGACTTTGTCAAAGAGCCTGGCTACCTACTCCATATCAAAGACTTGCACAGTTCTTGCATCTATCAATCGTAAGCGTTTGCTCATGCCCTTAAACTTTGCCAGAAATGTTCTTCCCTGTGTACCAGGCTATGAGGTTGGTTGGAGAAAAGCAGGTGGCTGGGGTAGCACCGTGTTTGAACAAGGAGAGGCTCACACATGAGGCCAAATCCTGATTTGTATTTCAGAGATGCAGTTCAGTCTCAGCGCAACGCAGCCAGGAACTTTGTGCTTAGGTTTTCTTTAGCAGGTTGATTTCCTAGAGCTGAATTTTTCATTGAAAACAAAGTTTCATGAAAAGTTACCAGAGTTTTGTCTGACTGGTTGACTGAACCTTCCCTTTCTGTATATAAAATTGAGGAAAATAAAGAGATGATGTGAAATGAAAACTGTCTGACAATCACCCTAACAAAACAAACAAACAAAAAAAACCCAACCCTGCGGCCAGTCCTTTGGAAAGGCTGGATTTCCTTCTACCTCAGCATGATCCACCCATTTCAAATTGTTTTGTTACTTTTTTTCCTAGTTCTGTGGCTCTGCTGTTTCTAAGAGTGCTAAAAGGAACTGAGTGCTTCTCAGGCTGCCTTGGATCCTTTCCCCCCTACCAGCTGTCAGTATATGCTGATTGATCACAGATACACAGATGAATACCTCCTAATTTCTGCCTGGTTGAATTCCCACAAATTCTGCAGGCCAAGTAGTAGTGTCTGCCTTCTCCTTCTAGGAAGTGGCATTTGCCTTTGGCTACTAAAAGAGGCAGTAGGTGACCCACTGGTCTATTCAAGAGCAGCAGAGGTGACAGGAGGTGCTCAGTCCTTGCACGCGTCCTTCCTAATGTGAGCCGAGACACTGAAGAGCCGCTTTGTGTAGGCTTGCTGCATAGTTGGCAGAGAGGAAAGGGTATTTCCAAATTCAGTCTTAGTCCTCTGGAGGTGCCTTCCTCTGTTTCAGCTGAAGTGTTTTAAAAAGGACGAGATGTAGCCAAGCTTCAGTTTAAGAAAAGATAATCATTTAGAGAAGAAAGGGCCAGATTTATGTTGCTTCATGCCAGATAATTCCTTTTAGTCTTGTGAGATATTTCTGCTTTAGTTTGTTCTTACACCGTATTTGTACAGGATGTAAAGCAGGACTATTTAGGGAGTATGCCAAAAGCTGGGATAGTGCAGAAGCTCATACTGTCCTTTCGGTATCTCTCGCATTAATCTAATGACATCTGTCCAAGTGTCTGGTAATTCAGACTTTCAGGAAGAAAGAGCAAGTACTGAATAGATCTTGACTCCTTGCTGTTCTTGATTTAACATAAACCTTCTGGTTGATCTGGATCTAATTCCCATGTGAAAGTTCAAAGAAAATAAATGTCAGTGTGCTTTGTGAATCTCTTACCTACAATAAATAATGAAAACTCATTCCAGGTGATCTGAACAAATGCAGAACATCATAGTCTTAATTTCCAGTCGATCCCAAGGAGACAGTAAACTGCGGGTAGCTACCTGTGCCTGTATCTATTGGGAATGTAATGAAAGGTTATATAAAGACAGGTTATGAATACGAACTTCAAAGAACAGATTATGAAGAGCTTGTGGGCCAGTGAAGCAGAAAAGGTGTATCTTACCAAGAGACATAGACATCACTTGTCTGGAAAATAGCATTTAAGATCTAGATAGACCTTTGGGGTTTGTTTCTTTTTTGGCCATACTTTGGTTAACTCAGCTATAAACTCTTCAATGCAAAATTGGACTCAGAGCATGCAGTAATTTCATACCTTACAACAACTTTTTTTCTCCATCTTTCAAGGATTGTGAATAAGGTACAAGTTTTCATCCTCTCAGAGTAGAGGATGTGGAGAAGTCAACAGCAGGGTGTGTAAGAATGTCACTTGTTGGCTTATGGGAAAATCTCCTTCTCTCTTATTCTTACAGGTTTTAAGAATGGTGGCAGGCAGAATTTGCTGATATTTTGTTGTCATAGTTTGTATTAAATTCCAATAGATTTTCTTCAGCAAATATTCATAAGCTGCAGAAAGTGAGAAGGGTTTTCTAGTACAAGGTTATCTTGACTGAAGATCATTTTATCAAAGCTTGGTACATTTCACTTGCTTCAAGCACCTGCTTTTCTGGACAAGTGAATAAGCTAATGATACAAAAAGTTTATATTTGTACTATTTATGCTGAAGGTAAAAGAACATATTTGGTGTCCAGGCTTGTGCATTTACACAAAGATTTCATTTATCTCATTAGTTCTGGTATAAACTGTGAAACAGACAAGTTGGCCAAAGCATGAAATAATACAGTTACAAAAAAGGTAACACACACGGTAACATAATTGACTTTAAATGTTATGTGGGGATTTTGCTGAGATTTTTCTCCTCTGTCTCTATCTCCAGACAAGTGGAACACAGACACCTGCATGTGAGCTAGGTTAGATATATTAGTATCCAATCCAGTCAAGAGAGACAAGCATTTCTAGAATGTGGTTTGTCTGGCTTGCTTTAGGTATTTTCTTCGGGATTATTTGACTTCCAAAGCACTTATTTGTCTCTCTTGACTATTAATGGGAGTCCAAACATCCAGCTCAGATGTAGGTGTACTTTTATGGACAGACTAATCCCACCTTCTTGTGTCATTTAGTTTAATTCAGAATAATAATTGTGATTTATAATTGTGCTTGCAGGTTGGTCAGGACAAAGGAAGCTGTTCTTTTCACAGAAACCCCAGCCCATGTGTCGTTCCTCAAGAGAATGAAAATATTTTCCACACAATATTTGCTTTTTTCACAAAGTCTGGCAGAAAAGTATTGGTAAGAAAGTCCCCTTACGGCAAAATTGAAAATGCAGTGTATCTTACAAAAGATTTTGCATGGCTTAGCAAGAAATCAAGCAGATAGTTCATTATAGAGCAACTGTTTAGTGCGTGTATACTAATACTGATGTTGTGCTGTGGGGATAGTTAGTGATTATAATTATCTGGTTTTTAAATGGAAATAGGAAGCTTGAGGAAGTGCAGTCGGGAGGGAGTTACCTGATGTGGCAGCACACACTCGGTGAGGAGAGCCCTCGCTCCCATGTTTTGTCAAAGGCACATGGGGCAGTGGGCCCTGTGCTGTGCTCGGCGCCCGCCCCGTGCAGAGGGCTGATGTGCAGCGGTGGCCTCACTCCTCCTGGCCGGGGCACTCACCTGGCTCAGCAGCTCTGTAGAGGGCTGAATTTTACCTGGCTTGCTTTCATGCAGGTCTCTGTATCTAGCTGTCTGCAGGTCTTGAAAGTTGCTGCTATTTCAATGCAGGAGTGCTGTATTTTAGCAGTTTACTATGTAACTTAGTCAGCTGGTGCGTTTGCTGTCACACAATTTGTCACTGTTTTTCTTCCTCCTTTGCCTAACAGCTTTTTCCATATTTCCTGTAGGACTGTGAAAGACCAGGCAGGTACTGCTTAATTATACGCTGCAACTTAAGCTCATTAGCAAAAGCAGAGTCCTGTGATATAAGTATCTACACACTGCTGAATACTGAGATACTGAAGAAGGTACGTGCTTCTTTTGTAGTTCGTCTTAAATACCAACTTAAGTATGCTTATGTGCATCAATGGACTCGAGAGTTGCATTCCTTCTGCTCTTTACTAGCGTGTTATAAAAAATCATGGTGTCAGAGAAAACAGATCTATTTATCAACAGCATGTATGGAGGTGTTAATCCTAGTTCTTACCCATTACCCATTAAGGCAGAAATAAATTAAGTTCAGAAATTTATACATTGAGAAACAACAAATGAGCCCCCTAATTGTATGCGTGGTGTTAAAGCTAGAGACTTCAGAAAGTTGAATTGATTTCCAAAAATTTTCATTCTGAAAAATGAAAAGTAGAGTAAGTGCATGTAAACTGTGACCAGCTATCTATCATTCCCTCCATATAAACAGAGACATGGCAGTTTTTTGTGATTTTTTTACTTCAAATGATTATTATTCAAAGAAGATACATCACGACCATATTAATGCTGAGCTTGACATTTGTGACAAGAAACAAATGGTTGCAAGTTAATTCCTGTCTTCTCTGAAGCCACTGAATGAGACAGCAAATCTTTTAAATTTCTAGTGATTTACTGTGTTTGGCCCTGTTTTCCTATACTTACAAAAATGTCGACTGCGTAATTGTGGCAAGATGCTGTAAGATTATGAGGGTATAAGATAATCAGAAGAGAAAGCTGATAACATGAGCCTACTAAAATTAACCTATCTTTGATTGCTGCTAGATTAAAAGCACTGGGGAGAGCCCTTATTAGAAAGCAGTTCCTAAAGCGATTGATAGCCCTAAGCTTTTCCAGCTGAAACCAACCAGTCTGCTAATGTTTGTTCGTATTTGAAAACAGAAAATACAGGCAAGGCCAGAATTTTCAGGTATTTGCTACATGCTTATAGAAATGCTGAAATAAGTGTGCAAGTAACTGAGTGCACACAAAGCGTGCTTCTGGGAAATTCAGTCCTGGAAATAGCCGGGATTCATCCTGTCTGCTGGGTCCTTTCCAAGATGACCATTAGCAACACTCCTTTCAAAAACATACAGTGCTTACACATCTTTGGGTGAGTATCACCAATACATGCCATTTGCCACTTAGCACCTACCCTCCCCAAGGTGAACAGCATACAAATGACTAACCTATGAGTTGAAATGGCAGCTTATAAGAACGTGCCTGTTACAATGGACTGTGTAAAATACAGGAGAAATATAAATTAATAAGGGGACGTGTGTATTGAATATTTTAGATATTTGCAGTTCACAGATTCAAATAATTTAGAAGTTTCCACCTTGGTATACACTTAAGTTTATACCAGGTTTTGTGTATCTTTTTTCTGTTCACCTGAAAAACAAGTAGGAACTTTTCTTTGATGGTTAACATTGAGTTTGCCTGTGTTGATTGGCAATGTTCTGTCTTTTGCGGTAAATGTGGGAAACATTAACAGGCCAAATACAAATGATGTGTTTAAAGTCCAACATACCTGATTTTGTTTTAATCTCAGATAATGTGCTTGGGTTTGTGTGTCTGTTATGAGCATAAGATATATTTTTCAAAGCAGGGTTTTAACCAGGATAATACTTAACTCTCAACCCAGCCTCTACTAAGCATTGTCTAGATGTGTTTATTAGACTGGCAAAGGTTTGATGGTGGCTGCTTTTTTTTTTTTTTTTGGGTGGGGTAGGGGGGGGTGGTCTTTTTTTTGCACCCCAAATCCAGTTCTTCCTCTTTTTACTTCTCAGGACAGTTCATCAGTCATCCAGTTTGTCACAAGGGCGAGGGTGCGGGTAGACCCTGACCTCAGAGTTGTGGAGGTGCCCAATGGGAGCCCAGAAGAAAAACCAGTAAGTAGATAAACCTGCAGGGAAAGGTTTCCTGATCCCAGTGGCCTGGAGATCATTGAAAGTGCTATACAAACTGGAATTTATGGATGGGCTAGCCCATGAGAGTGCCCAGACTTTGTCTGGCTAGACTAGCAGTGCTGTGAACTGTGCTTCTGTGGTTTTGCTCTATGTGATAACCATGCCATCACAGTGAATGATGTTATGTGGAGCAGGAGGATCTATGTTGTACCAGCCAAAATTGTAATACCCTTGAGGTATTTGTTCCAAAATTAGGTTTAGCTTCCTATTCTAGGGTTACTGTCCACTTTAATCTAATTCAGGTTTTCCTTGAAAACCTAGCAGAGACTCGAAACCCCAGCAAAGTCTTTTCAGATGTGCCAGTATGAAATATTTAGAAGTGTTAATGATATTTTGGGAGCTGTGAAAATGGGCAAGGGGGTCTAAACTTTCAGAGGTTCATTTAACTGTTCCCTTGTGCTGAGCTGATGGAATTCACGTATGACCTGATACTGCTTTTTGAGTTGATCTGCGTAAGGCTGGATTGAAAATTGAAGGGGAAATATTAAAGTTCAAGGTGAATTCACTGTGTAGTTTTAGCTGTAAGTAAAACTATACATGACCACTTTTACAATCTGCTGGAGAAGGAGGAGGCGATGGCTTTGGTTTCCTACTACCAAGCTGCCTAATGCTTACAGATGAAAATTGAACAGGGGGCCACACCCAAATTCAGCTTTCCTTTTTCCTGGTGAAATTTTAAAGTTTCATTTCTTATTTCTCTCTCACGTGAGGATCAGAGGTAATCTGGACTACTTTCAATTTCTCCTCTTGCTCTGTGTTTTTTGAACATGCTCTAGATCCTATCTCTCAGTTATCCTTATATCACCAATGACTGTCATCACCACCAGCCCATGCAAACATTCTCATTGGCTCAATTTCAGTGACTACTATTGAGATTTGAGTGTGAGAGTGTTGAGTTCAACACACTTGGAAGGCACTGACTTCCCAAATTAAAGCACTCCTCTCAGAGATAATGGATTTAAAACCCTACAGGCAAAGGAAGAACTGAAGCTGTATCTACTTACTACTTTCAGTCTGAAAGTAGAGACACCACTACACTGACTGTCTTCTCCACAATCATGTCTGCAACCCTAAACTTAGCTTTCTGTTTTATTAAACCTGTCAGAAAAAGAAATTCTTTTATATGACAGGACTCCATTTTTTTCCCTTCTGTTTTATTTTCTTTGTCAGGTTTCTGGACCATTCTAAGGAGCATTAAAAAAATAGGCTTGGCAGCTGAAATGAAAATCATTGCTAGCCTTCCCTGAGAATGTGCCTTACAAGTGACCTGCAGCCCTGACTTTTAATACATTGCTTGATCGCTCTTTAGTTCTCTCTTTAGTTAGAAATTTTATGGCAAAATTTCTTTAATTACTGAAGTAACTGGCTGTGATACCCGTGCCACAACTGACATGGAAGAAGCCAGGATCGCTCTGCTAAATGTCGTGATCTGTAAAGGGTTTTAGAATCTCTCAGAATGATAGGCACAATGTAAAATGTGTGGGATTACTATTACTTAATGTTCAAAATTTAGATACGTTTTTATCTAGGAATGCAAGCTCTGCTGTATTTCATTGTAATCTAATGATTGGAGGAAAAAAAAAAGAAAAAAACCTCCAACATTGTCCTTTTCCTGTTCCCGGAAAGTCTTTCATCAAGCCTTGAGTTGCAACGATTATGAAGTGCACTGTGTGCACTGGGAAGCTATATTAATCTTCAAACAAGAGCTTGCTCCTAGTTCCTGGGAAGCCCTAGCTGTAAAGGAGCATGCTTGATATGTTGCAGCCATGTAACATCAATTTGTAATTTCAGGTCTTTTCTAATGTGAGTGCCATTTGCTCTTTCCTTTATGCTATTTCCATATGTCTGTTGGCTTCACCATTGCTGTATGTTTTGCATAGAGTCATGTTCAGGGAAAAATTTAAGACATGTGGTTTGGCTCAAGGTATTCATTTTTCCTCCCTCTCTTTTCTTGTGGAATGCAGAAGGGAATAGTACTCGTTGCGAGCCACAGCTATTCAGCTGGAAGTAGAGACAGGAGAGATAAAAAGTCTTTGTTCATACTCTTCCCTTCCTTTTTAAAGCTTGTCCTGTATTCTTGTCATTGACCATTCTTGTCATTGACCATGGACTGCTCTACCTTATCCGTTTGGATAGAAGCTCCTTCTGAATAGTTGTGCATGGACTTCCTTTGAGTCTGTTTATGAAAGTGTTCCCTGACAATGAAAAACATTGTCTTAGACACTTTATCATGGTAAATTTGAAAAGGCCTGTTTGCTTTCTACAGCTAAATGTTGACTTATTAGCCCATTTAAACGTTCTTTAGAATGAGGTACCCTTACTTCACTGAGCACTTTTACAATATAGTGGACAATAGTAGTCCAAAGTACCTGTAGTAGTAGTAGTGCAAAGTAATAGTAGTGCAAAGTACCTGTAAAGAAGACAAAAGGAAAAAGGAAGACTGATATATGTGATGCTAGTGTAAGAAGTACCAGTGGTGGCAGGACCACCCATAAAAATACCAGCTTTGTCAGAAACTCTAGTAGACAATTTGTAAGGCAGATGCAAAAGCTTATGTAAATATCTGTAAGTTGGGTAGCAGGCTGTCTTTGAAATGAACCCATTTTTTAAAAAAAAGGTACGTTTATGCAATTTTCAGAAATCATTTCTCTGGATTTGGATATGGTTTTATGTGATTTGGAATGATGTATTTTCTGCCTCTGGTTACAATAGGCTGATTGAACTCTTATATTGAAGAAATCACATGAAGAAGGTGAGCAGAGTTTGGATTTGGCTCTATGTTGACAGTTGTATTAACATTAGTATATATTGGCCTAAAACCGACGGTGTGGTATTTTCAGGAGGCATACTTTCTTTTCTTGAGCATATGGGTTTCAGTGAAGGTTTGGCTCCCTTCTTCGCTACATGTGAGGCAAAACCAACAATGAGCTCCGTGAGACCATGGTGGTCAAATACCAGATCCAAGGATTCACATCCTGTGCTCTCTGCTCATGTGCAGGAGGAGGAGGAGGAGGAGGAGGAGGAGGAGTGCTCTTATGGAGCAAAAGGACTTCCCCCTGTGAGTGCCAGTGTGGAGGGAAGAATAGGATGGATTTCACTATGTCAAAACCAGCCGAATGCCTCTGAGTCTTCCTGTCTTGAAAGCGAGGGAATGCAAAGCTGAATAGATGATAGGGGAACCCCAGATAAAATGCACGCAGCTGCTGCAACAAAGTGCCCTGTAAAGCTGAAGGCTACCGTATCTGGTGCTGCCAGCTCAGCACAGGTACGCTTCATCAAGCCTTTGAACCTCTCTCTCCTCCTGGGTAGAGTTTGCTTTCTCTCATTTTCAGCCCAGTCACCCCAGGTTTAATTCAACACAGGCAAGTGGTTGCCCTACATGGATTTTTTTTTTTTTTTTCCCCCTTGTGTTTATGTTTGCGATGATAAACACATATTTTGGGGAAAACAACGATAAAAAAGAAAAAACTTTAAAAAATGAAGTTCATGGTTGTGAAGGCCTACAAGGTGTTTTTGAGAGGTCTTTATATGCCTATTTATATGCAGAGAGATTTAAATGCATATTCACGTGTCTAAGCTTTAGCTGTCTGCCTGTGGCGCAGGGGACTCCCAACTTCGGCCTGTTCTCCATATTTGAGTTGGAAGGAGCAGCCTGTGGTACTAGACAGTTCTCATGATGTCCCAGCCTTTTTCTAATGCACATGGGAATACTTCTTCCACTCAGCAACCCATCACCACCCCCTCCTGCCTTTTAGAAACACTCAGCATTTTAAGGCATCTGTTCTCTCCAGCTTACCTTTGAGATGGGCATGTCCTACTCTGGCTGGAGCCAGACATGTGCTTCCTCCAGCAGCTTTGCAGCCCCCTTTCCACTGGGTTATTTGCCACCTTACTGTTTTCACCATGTTTCATTTTTCATTTCGTTGTTTTACCTTTCCATCTGTTACTGTAACAATCCCTTTATAGATTTTCTTGTCTTTACAGTGCAGTCTGGCAGGTTGAAGCATACACTTGGGTAAGGGAACAAAACAATACACAATAGCAATAAAATACAGTTAATTTCCCAGGGATAGAGACAAGCAGCTACCAAGGATAGCTCAGGTTTGTATTTTTGAAGAACTTCCAAGGTTTTTCTTAGTATATGTAAATCAATAAATATATAAAAAGGGGTGCATATACTTATATGTACAGGTGCATAGGAGAACGGTGTCTTCACTCCACGTCCCCCCAGGTATAACAGCACTTGAATGGACAAGTCAGCCAGCAGAGGAGTCTGATTTGAAACACTAGAAATATTTTGGGTGATCATACAGAAATAAAATACCATTTTTTTCATAAGCCCTTGCCTTCCATGGCGTTGTGGTTCATGATACAAGTGCATAAAATTCATTTAGTGCACATAAGCAAAAAGAAATAAAAATTTTGCAATTATGTATTTCTAACCAGATTTTCCTGAAGTATGTTTCTTGTCTTTCTGAGTCCCAGTGCAGCAGCGTGTGCCTATCCTGCAAAGGGCTTCAGCACAATATGAACTTCAAGTATTTGCAATATTCCTACTCACTTGATTTCTTAACTTCTTGCCTACACACTTTACTGAAATAGGGTGTTTTAAAAACACTAAAAAAAAAAAATAATAAATTCTGATTATTTTCAATTTGTTCACTAAGACTATCAGTATATAGCAAGTGTTTGGCACAGGTAGAAGATGAGCTGGTAGATGCCCTTGTCCGTGCGGGTTCAATATTTCAGAAGTCAGTGGTAGGGTGCAGATCTCTGTTATTTTACAGAAGGGCAGTTACACTATGTAAAACCTGGTTGATGTGTGAGCTACGTACAGCTAAATGGTGAGCTACACTGCCTCCTGGGCTTCCCTGCTTTCAGATCCTGCAAGTACAGTGTGAAATGTAAAAGATAAATACGGAACTAAAACTCCTCATACATTGTCAAGACAACTGTGTTTTTCACAGCCTTTCCCTGGCCTTTCTTCAGAACCTGAAAACAAGCCTGTAATCTGCTCCATATTTTAAGACCGTTGTATGTGCTTTCTCTGAACCAGACGGCTCCTGCCCCCCACCGCCCTCTCTGGGATGCTTTCCCGATCCCCCCACCCCCCTTATCTTCTGCATCAGTCACTCTTATCACTCCTGTCTTCTCTGTCGGGGCTGTGGGAAGTGTGCTGGGCTGGAGGCTGCCTTGTGCTCCCCAGCGTGTTGGCTGCCCTGTAGGGGCTGTGCTGCTGGGGTGGACAGGACAAGGAGTTCAAGCTTCGCTCGAGATTGGCTTTCAGAGACTGTGTGATGGCCAGTGTGTCAAGTGGCAGACGGCAGCTGGCACGCTTCTCTTTAGTAACATCAACCTCTGCCTCCAACCTCCGCACCGGGATGACTTGCTTCCCTGGCCTCCCACCACTTACTATACTGGCTTTTTGCTGATGCTCTCAACGTGTGATGTACACTGACTGTCTGCTCAGTCTAGTTTGATTGGGGATTGGCTTGGGTTTTTTGTTGTTGGTTGCTGCTTCTATTCTATTCTGATAATTCTATGATTCTTCACCAAAATTCATTGCAGTGGCTGCGTATTAATGCAGGCAGATTTTGAGGGCTTGAGCAGGATAAGGACATTAACATGCCCAACATCCCTGCTCCTCTCCAAACCACAAAGCCATGAACAGGGTTTTTTTGTTTGTATGTTGATTCAGACTGCTAGAAGAAACCGGGTAGATAAGAAGCTGTTGTCGCTCTCTACCCTTATAACCTGAGCTGTGACTGCAAAAATTACAGCCAAGCTATTCTAGCTAGTGTGCTTCAAACCTGAAATGTGGGGACTCTTGCTGTAGAGATGATGTATGATTTGATTTCTGCAGCTATTCCTGGCTCTGTGTTTTGGCAGCACGAAAGACATACAGGTCTATTGTGCTGGAGGTTGTGTTATGTTAACATTTACTCTCTGAGTAGTGGAGAGAAGGCACCACTTCATTCTGCATCTAGGGACTGCTTGAAAGGTCTCTTCGCTAAAGTTGGCAATACTTAAAATGTTAGGAGTTTTTTTCTTTTAGTGTCAGAAAGGAAAATAACATCAGTGCCTTATCATCTTAGAAACAGTCATCTGACTTGTGTCCGCAAGATGTATGCTAACCATAGCCTCCGTGAGAAATGGACTGCCACATCAGATCGTCTTTCCAAGCTGGCTCAGAAATAGGGGGAAGGCACAAGATTTGTCTTTGATCTTTCTGTCTGGTATTTCCCTTACACTAGTCTTGGCTATGAGGGAAACTCTGCTGCTTAGGAAACTTTCTCTGTTCAGCAAGATGTCTTTAAAAGTCTGACAAAGGCTTTGTGCTAATGTCTGAAATGCTACAATTATTCTTTTTTGGGGGAGAAGAACTGGTCCATGTTCGAGAGCTATTTTGAGCATTGTGATACTAGTTACAGGAATATGTTTTGATAATGCTGTCTATGTATAGCTTTGTTCCTGTGCATGTGTTATGTTTTCATGTCTCGTTGTCATCCAATGCCTGATAATATCTCATCAATAGGAAAAAAAAAAAGCGTGTGTAAATCAGCTGCGTTCAAATTCCTCCTCCAGAAAAGCTGCAGTCTTAATCAGCATTAGCCTGTGAAACTGAGACGAAGGATCTTTGAGTACTTCTTTATGGGAACACAGTGACGAAATATAGCCCCACTCACCTGCTTTCTGTCATCCATGTCTGTAACTTGTGTGGGTGTTTGCTGAGGCTGCATATGCTTACAGAAACAGAGAAATGTTTGTTAGTGGGATGTCGGGAGTCTCTTCTGTCCCATTTCCCACTTGAAGCAGGGCTGTGGCCCACACTGGCTCAGGGTCCCCATGTCTGAGGCTTGGAAACCTGCAAGGATGGAGAAGCCAGAGCCTCTTTGGCCCCTGTTCCATTGCTGCCATCACCTCCCTGTTGCAGCCTTTTCCTCAATGCCCACTTCAACATCCATATGGGTTGTATGGTTTTGTGTTCTCTTGCTGTCTCACAAATGACACTGTTTGAACGGTGTCACCAGTGAGTGGAGGTATTTCATGGGTCTTCCATGGGCCTCTTAAAGATGTGTATCTTGGGGTTGCATAATTGTATCTGACTCCTGGATTTTCACCCACTTTTAATTACCTTTTTTGTTTTGTTTTATTCCAAAGATTGGTTTAACAATTTATGTCTATGAAAGGGTTTTGACATTTTTAAGCAAAGATGATGAAAGTGGTTTGTGAAGGAGGGAGGAAAACTCACTACTTTACCTTCCAAAACAAACCAAGCCAGACAAAGCAAGCGTATTACCTTTTAAAAAATCCTGCTGCCTCTCTGCATTTGGTGGATATTAAATTGCAAAATTCAACATAGAAATAGCCATCACTGAGGAGAACTGTTTTGGAGCTTTCCACTGAGGAAATGGTTTTGATTTAAATAAGAGACTGGAAATTCACATCATGTATACAAGTATACGGTATAATTTGCTCCCATTTTCTTCTTAAGGCAGACAGTTAAGGAAAGCTCTTTGTAGGATGTATTTCCCTGCCATACATGCTATAAAAAAAAAAAAAGAGAGAAGAGAAGAGAACAGCAGGGGACTGCTCTTTGCATTCTCAGAAGAACCCATGACTGCACGCACCCTTCCCTCTTTCACACAATGTGTCTGGAGAAGCACAGCAGGGATGATTTGTATTCAATAGGGATACATGCAAGTTGTTCCATTTTTCATGGAAAAAAAAAGTTAACAAGCTCAGCATACATGAGTGTTTCATGTGAAGCATCAGGGTGTTTTGCAGGGACAGGAACATGATGAGTAAGACAAACCACACACGAGATGTCATGGCAATCCCTGCCAATCCAGGGGATGGTGTTTTTCATGCAAACTTTTGTACACCTTTGGTGGCCCAGCACTAGAACTAGTTCAGTGTCTGGGGTGGGGTTGGGGTCGGCAGGGTAAGAGTTATTTCAGAGTGGAAGCTGATATCCTTTGGATCCAATGCATGGCTACTCAAATTCCACTTGAAAGCTTTAAATCCCTTGTGAAAAATAGATGGAAAGCACAAAATTTAGGACACATTCCATATTTGTTTGACAGATGAAATATGATCAGTGAGGCCACCATGCAATGTGTTTAATAAGATGAGTACAAGAGAAAACAATACAACTTCCAATCATAAAAAGATCTTTTTCTAATTGCTTTGTAGGTGGTCTTTGAGGCTTTGCACAATCTGGAGCCTCGGGGGTATGTTGTCGGATGGATCATTGCCATCAGTTTGCTGGTGGGAATTCTCATCTTCCTGTTGCTGGCTGTGCTCTTATGGAAGGTAAGGTAACAGATGCAACATAAACACCAAGGCTAGTCTCAGGAAAGAAAAGCTTAAATTTATCCTTGCATTTAACATGCATTTGCTTTAGGAACTGTATAATTGTCTGCTCCATTACAGAAGCCATTGGCCAGCAAAAATATTTTCATATCCAGGCTTTCTTGAGGGACAGGGAGAGACTCATGATGTGGAGAAGCGGAAGAGTGGATTTTTATTTTTTTTTTAGGGCCTGGTTATTAAAAGTTGAAACCCGTGGTACCATTTCAACACAAAGGAGAAATCCCTCTTAGAAACCTGCTGTTATCTCACACTTAGATACTTGGTACATCTCTATGGTTTTCTGATGACTGAGGCTCACTGATTTCAACAGCGTTTCCTGAAAATCAGGTCAACTTTGTTGGATGAGCTAAAAGATTGGGTGCATGCCTAGCAAAAATCAGTCAGTAGCTACTGTTTTCAGGAGGTAAATGCCTGGGGGAGAGGAGTATCCAGCAATAAATTCTTCAGATCCCTCAGAGAAAGAGTTCCAGATGAGTAAATTGCATTACCAGAGCAGGAAGCACCAGGACCTGTTAAAAGCCAGCCTTCACGCCATCTCTGATAAGATACAATTCTTGTACCCGGGCGCTGTTACATGGTAAAACTGGGCTGATGCTGACACTTAGCAGCAGCCATCTGGTGTGGTAAATATGAAGGGTAAGGAGCTTCAAGTGTTTTCATTCCTCAGTTCCCTGTTACCAATCCATAAATTTAAAAGGCCACGGTCAAGGTCAGGGACTGTCTTTGAGAGACGTAAATCTCAAATGCACACATGGGAACAAGTCCAACCTTATTTTGCTTCCCGTGGCAGAGGTCCAGCAGCCTGATTCGCACTGTTTAGCAGCATGTGCGCGGCAGGCTCTGCTCCCTGGCTGTGCCGGGACTGGAGATTGCAGCCCCAATGTGCTGCGAAAGGACATATCACTGCATGTCATGAGGCTGTAAAATGGATTTACAAACCCGGGCCACAAACTGGCCATGCAATTCTTATTATAGATTATACAGTTGTGTGTAGCTCTGTTATAGATTATACATTTACTTCATGGATTATATAAATTTTATATGGGTTACAGATTTAAAGTATTTTTATAGTCAGTTTTGGAGATTTTTAAGCATATACTGACCAGGTCAAAATTGACTGTGCTTTCCATTTGGAAAACGATGTTTGACCACAGTCTAGCATATCTCATAATTTCTGTTTTTCTGGCACGCGGGCAATGCTTTTGCTTTTTGTGGCAGAAAGAGTGAAAAGAAAAAAGAAAAAAAAAAAGAAAAGTCTGTGCAATTAATCTGGCAGAGTAACCATGAGAATGGAAAAATGTGAGATTGGAAGAGGCCCAGGGTTTATGTCCCAATGACACAGTTTTGAAAAAGCTGTTACTGCTACTAATGCCTATATGACTGGTTTCATACAGCTTGTTTCCTGAAGGTAAAAAGGCACTAGATGAACTGTTTGAAAATGTGCAAGGGAAGAGTAATAGCACCTTTCACTGTGAGTCTCCATGAGAATCTGACACAAGTTCAATTCTTGGTATCTACCAGAATTAATACAGTCCTTTGCTTCCTGGCTTAATCTTGAGACTTGAGCTCATTACAATTTTATAGGGATCATTTAAGTACACATGAAGAAGCTGCCATTTTGTTGCATGAAAGCCTTGAGGGAAATTGCGAGTGACAGCAACAAATAATTATAACTAAAACCAGGCTTATATAGCTCTTTCTGCATGCAGATATTGAAGTGCTGAGGCAAAGCAAAGTGAGATGCATTGCCCAGAGTCCTGTGGCAGAGATGGCAGTAAAAGCCAGGCTTTGTCAGCTGCACTCCAGTGCTTTATCCACATTGTTGCATGATTACTCAAGGAACCAATAACTTAAGGTTTTGTTTTAGAGAAAAGTGATTAAAAGCGTGTAGCTGCTAGTATCAGCCAGTATTTTCATGTAAGTCTTAGTTTGGAACATAAATATACATAAGTAATACTTTGCACTCACTAGTTGCTATATTTATTAAAGTTACTGGCAATATTAAAGTTGTCTGAGATAAAACTGACATGGGAAAGTTGCAGTTCTACAGAGGAATCTTAATTGTCTGATTGTAAATATTTGTTAGACAAAATTGGCCAAGTATATCCTGCAGTCATTCCTAAATTTTGCATGTGAAGTAGTCAAAAAACCCCTTACATTAGAAGTGTTTTAGTCTTTAACTGTGGAATGAAAGAACAGATTTGAAGTAGATGGAGTTTTGGGCATCTTAGAACCACTAGTGAGAACTAAAAATGACCCAAATTTTAGGACTAGAGTATAAACTAAATTGTATTTTTATTAAGAAATTAATTAGAGCTAAACTGTGGTCCTGGAAGGCAGCTGTTTACACAAAACAGAGCAGGAGCTGGAGCAAACTCATTATAGGGGAACTGAGCACTGGCAGCAGTGCAGGGCTTGCTGGCAGCAACTGTGTCTCAGCCTGATGTGGAAGGTACGCTCACTGTGTGCACGACTGCACCGTGAGTGGTGCAACACAATGGGCAAATCCTCAAACACACTGGTATTTTGCAGACAGAGCAAGCAGCTCCTTAAAGTTGCAGAAAAATATTAGAATGCATGTAAATATTTCACATTACACGCTGCTAGAATTAATGGCATTAGTAGGAGTGAGATCTCAGGCACGTTCCAGCCCAAAATCCTATTTTGAATCTGAAGAAGGTCACTGTGCATACAAGAAGATGAGGATGGTAATTATTTCATTATTTGTAGATCTAAAATTACACGGTTTAGGGCCCTTATGTCAATGGAAGTGATGTTAAATGCCTGGTGGTTTCACTTCAAATAAAAGCTTATTTATTCACATGCAAGACCACAGCCATTTTTATACACATATAACAAACTTTTTAGTGTGAGCGTGACCAGTTTTTGACTGGCTTTGCTTCTCTGTTTACTTTAGTATTCCATGTAGACACCATGTTTTCTCTGGTTTCAATGTGTTCATATTCAAAGGGAATAAGCAGCTTTTCCCTGACTTCCACGAGATGCCGTGCGTAAGGCAGACCAGCAAGAGTTGCCCCATTTTGGTCTATTTCGTCGGATAACCCAGTTTCACCCTGACACTTGCGGCTATTCGTATCTCGTTCATCCACTCTGGATGCCTCTGTGCAGGCATCCATGGGGACGTGCTCCCACTCTTGCCGGTTCCTCTGCAGCGCAGCTTGCTCTCCCCGCTCACGCCTCGCCTGTGGTCTCCCAAGCGCAAGAGGAGCAGGGGGGGCTCTTGTGCTGTTGCCCACAGCAATACATCTTGCTTTTTACTGTGGAGATTGGCCTGCACCTCTTTGGTGGCCTCCAGATGCTTGTGGAGAGTGGAGCAGGGGAGGAGGTCGCTTTACTTCAGGCCAACTACCCGTGTGCTAGACGAGCCCGTGGTTTCACAAGCACTGGCAACAATTCAGGAGGGAAAGGCGGTCGTGGCTGGATTATTTTGGGGAGTGCTGTCCCACAGACGCTTCCCTCAGCTGTCAGCACTGCAGCCATGCGTGGGGACAAGGTCCCCTTTGGGCATAGTGGATTTATGCATGCATAAACCAGGGGAGAATTGGCATACACCATGCAAATGAAAAACTGAGGCATGATGTATTATAACACAATAAATATTCTGTTAATAATAGTAGTGCTTTACAATGCTATGAATTGAAGTTTCTACATTTGAACTGGCTTGAGTTGTGAAGTGAATTATTCAATCCATATTATTTTAGATAAAGTGCACAGAAAGGAAAAAAAATGGTTTGTGCCCAGAGGGTATCAAACAAGGGATTTGTAAGCGAGTACCAGCCTGGACATTTGGGCAGCTGAGTGATCTGTGGAGCCAGTTGTGGAAGTGATTTGCAAAACAAAGATTTTATATTCATTGCAGTAACATTTTTTTCTTTGTGGCATGTTTAACAGAGGAGCTGGACTTTTATCTAAACTTACTTATGTAGACATTAAGCTACTTTGTGAACTGAGCCTGTCCCTGTGGTATCCAAGCTCTGACTTGTCTAAAATGAGATTTTTAGCACTGTTTTAATAGCTTTTAGATTCCAGGGGCAGAGAATTGATCTCTGGGTGTCCCCTATGTAATCAGACACTCTTCTGCTCCAAACCCTGGATATTTTACAGTACTGCAGAAAGGAGAAGGACAAGCAGAACAGCACCCACGTATGTTGTTTTTCATTAGCTCAAGGAGAGGTACATGCTATACAGAACACTTTTTCCCTTTGTCTTAAAATAAGAGTTTGAAGAATTTTATTTTTTTTTTAGTTTTTAGGAGAAATATTGTGAAGACACTTCTGTCTACTGAGCTAAGTTACTGCAGGCTTTGAACTGTCTTTTTCCAATGGGAAGCGTGAATCCTACCAAGTGCTGGCCTTGCAAAATCCTCATTTAAACAGAGCCTGCATGTATGGATGCAGCTGCTTGCTAGCACTTCGTTGAGGGACAAACTTTGAAATATAAAGCTTTCTTTATGAAATGTGAAGTTCTTTAAAAAAAGCCAAACAAACTCAAGCAGGTTTTTCAAAGGTGCATTTGGCCTTCTTGCTTGGAGAAGCCTTATGACTTTTTTCTGCACTAGCGTTGTTGAAAACACACTTGTATTCCCCTACATGCAGTAGTTGCCATGGCCTCATGTATTGTTTCAGCATTCAGAAAATACCTGAAGCTAACCAAGGCTAAAGCTAACTTGAAATTCACCTATATAGCTAAAACCACTGTTTTCCCATTTTTGGAAGGAGACACTTTCCCTTACTCAGGGCCTCAAGCATTAAGTCTTTTTACAATGGGCCAAAACATACAGCTCACCATTTTCCAGCAGAGGAAAAAAAAAAAAAAAAAGGCAACCAAACCTCTGCACTTATTCTTTGCCAGTGGTTGCTCTGTATCCTGTGTTACAAGCCCAAAACCATTTTCTATCCCTTTTATCTACAGCTCAGGTG